CCGGTGACGTGAAATGTGTCCTATTTCGCCCGGAACAAGGTTATTTCGGTCCTAGACCTACCCAACACGTATAAAAGCAAGACTAAACCTATTTTTGAAGGGGAGGACGCCACTTTAGAGAGATCTAACATACTTTGAAGGAGAATTCACGTGGAGGAACACACACCACGCTTGGAGGAGGCTTCTAACTAGTTTTTCTTCTCTTCTCTTCCTTTAATTTCATAGTTTATTAGTTCTAGAGTTTTGGGTGCTACATGAACGTTGTAGTTTGAAGCTTGAATTGTTCTTATTATTTTATCATATTGGTTTACTTATTCAATCTTGCGCTTAATTATTTGATTGCTTGATCACCAATTGAATACTATCTACAATCTAGGATTGAACTCGGGAGAGGGAATTCTAGATTGCATATAAGATTGAATAGAGCAAGATCTTAACTCTTAGGGGGAGCGGATTTGCGGTCAGGATAGGAATATACCTAATCGCCTTGCTTGGTTATTATACGGGAATTATAAATGTGTTATTGTTAATCCTAATTCCATAGGAATATAGGCGTCTGGTTAGCTTGAATAGGCGAGTTGTACTTCGGGAGAAGGCTACGAGCAATATTAACCCTGTCAATCAATAAACCAGATAAATTAATTAGATAATTTAGGTGGAAAACTCTACGGGATTGTTAGCTAACCCATAGCTCTAGAATATTCACTCATATTGAATTCGTCTCTATTATTCGCCAACTTATTTTCTTTGATCTCTTAATTTGTTACTCTAGATTAGCTTTAGTTAAATATTCGTACTTTTGAATTCTCTTGAATAGATTAATTGTTTGGGTTTAATTTAGGTTATAGTTAATCACAAGTCCCTGTGGGTACGATATCTGGACTTACAATCCTATATTACTTGTCGACCTCGTATACTTGCGTGTGCGTTTGGGAGCAACAAGTTTTTTGCGCCGTTGCCGGGGACTTAGAAATCAACTATTTTACTAGATTAGATTTTTACTTTTTATCTATTTAAGTTTATAATTTTAGTCTAGTGTATTTAGTATTATATTTTTTTACATGGCATCTTTGAACAAAAAGTGGTGGGATAGTAAGTATACTTGTTTTTGTGATCCTTGTCCATATTGTAAAGGACCCCACTTGTGGCAATATTGTATAAATATTCCTAGTATCGAGCTGTGTGCACCATCTCCTTCCTGTACTATTTGTGATGAAATTGGAATAATTGTCCTAAGTGTTGTTATCCTACTCCAGTCCCTTCTTATGTTGATTCTAATAATTTTTGTGAGTTTGACATGAGTAGCGAATTGGATGATGTGGAACATGATGTTCGCATTCTTGATATGCACATGAAATTATTAGAGGAATATGGAGTTTTTCGTGAGAAAATTACGAATGAGATGCAACAATTTATAGAAGGAAGAGCTGAACTGGGACAAGAGATCGACCAATTTGGCAGTGCTATTCGCGACTTAGAGGCAGATTTGAGTGCAAAGATTGATGCATGTAACGCCCAACAATTTAGTGATAAGTTGTGTGAAGCTGAAAAAGATCTTCTAGACCGAATTGAGGAGCTAAAACGAGAATATCAATTATTAGACCAAAATATTATTAATGATGCCAAGGTTGACGAAGAGTGCAAATTGAGGATGTCAAAAATAATGCAATTTTGGAGTTGGAGCGTATTGGACCTCATTCTAAACACTTTTCCACATTGTGTTTGGTTGGTGACATGGAAATTGATCCATTTGATCATATGGAGGAGTCACTAGATGAGGAACAAAGTATTTATATTCTGAAATTTGTCACACCAAGGAGACAAAACGACATTCCTCACTTAAAGGCCAAAAAGTGCAAGATGCGATACTTATTACTTGGTTTCTTTATTTTTACACCACCGCCCCAAGAACGTGACACAAAATTGATGCAAAACTGGGGGCGCAATTCATATCCTCAAAGTGGAAGGAAAAGTGGTGAAAGTGATGGCGTCGTGCCGCGACGTTAAATAAGGCGCTTGTTGGGAGGCAACCCAAATTTTTTTCTTTTCTTTGATTTTATTTTATTGTATTATTTTTTTGTAGTATTATTTTTGTGTTTTGTAGGAGTACGAGCATGGAATCAAAACCAAGAGGCATGTGCAAAAGCGAGCAGGTGGTTGAAACTAAGTGTGAGGTACCCGCACAAGAGAACATACCAGGGAGAAGTCTGAGTATCCCGTGAGCTGCTAATTCTTCGGCCTTTGGCCTACCAGGGAGTTTCTTTTACCCTCTTGTTATTTTTAGTGTGCATTGAAGAAATTGCACAATTTTAAGTGTGGGGCGAGGAGATTGTCTGGGTGATTTTCTGTGCCATCTTAGTGTAGTTGTAGTACTCGTTCTTAGTGTAGTAGTTTTTGTTAAAAAAAAAATTTAGAAAAAGTTCAGACTTTTCCCGACGATGTATCTTTTGGACAATTTTCTTGAGGGATAAAAGTCCGATTAAAAATATCAAAAAGTTTTTTTTTAGGATAGTTAGGTAGTATCCCTTGGTTTTTCTTTGGGCGCCGGTTCTTTTCTAAGGGTGTAGCTCGAACCGGGTACTTTATTTTTTAAGGAGTAGTTTAGGAAGAAACTGAGTCGCTCCGAGATACTCATTGACATGGTTGATGCTGGCACGTTAGGCTATGACATACATTTTGTTTTCCTGTGTATTTGGTTTGAATTGTGAAGCCTAAGTAAAGTAAATAACCTATTTTGTGACGCCTTTTCTCAGTTGTTTGACTTGTATGCTACATAGTGCAATATTGCTTAAATTCTTAATTATGTGTGCTTGCTTGACTTGAGAGTTGAACAGAACCGTCTTGATTGAGTCATGTGCAACGTGTGTGAGAGGAATTGTGATTTTCTATGTCATCCTGTGTAGTCTAGAACTTGCCCCGTGTGTTAATTGAAGCGAAATTGTAAGTGTGCTAATCTAGGAGATGACGTAGGCATTTTCTTTCTTGATCATGGATGTGGCTGTCACATAAAAATAAAATTTTCCGTTGCTAGCCCCTTTGAGCCTATAGAC